GTTTCTGTAAGGCAAAACAAGTCAATGTGATTATCACAAATCAAGTCATTAACTAGCAGACTTTTAGAGGAAAGCGATCTTATGTTAAACAGACCGCATTTAATTGTTTTAACTTTTTCCCCAATTGAAGTTATTTTGATTTTAATTAGATTATCATGATTTACTCCTTTGGGAATCTTTGCTAATTTATTAGATTTTGGTCGTGGACAAGACACTGTCTGGATGGAGTAAAGAGTGGGTAACAGTAGAGAAGCTGCAGAGATGTGTGTTAAACTACAACTCTGCTTCCTGGTCTGCACCCTGGGTGGTCAGGGTTTTGGAGGACTAATAAATGTGGCCAGATTCCTAGAAAGAAGAGCTGCACCATCCAAAGTGGGATGGATGCCGTCTCTCTGAATCAGACCAGGCTTTCCCCAAAAGGATTGCCAATTATTAATGTAGCCCACGTTGTTTTCAGGACACCACCTAGACAACCAGCGGTTGAATGACGACATGCGGCTAAACATGTCATCACTGGTCAGATCAGGGAGGGGACCAGAGAAAATTACGGAGTCCCACATTTTTTTGGCAAACTATGAAAAAAAGGTTTCTCAATAAGAATCTTAAAAAGTTGTTTTTATCACTTACATTTGCACTGAAATGTTCAGCATTCTTTGCAGTATATCTACATAATAATTGGCAGGTGCTCCTTCTTCTCTATTTAACATGGATCTACAAATTAAACCAGGCATTTCTAGGTTTGAGCCATTTAGCCCTGCTGCTCAGTCCTGATTAAATATTTAATCCGCATCATTCTTGCAGCAGCCATCTTTTTCTTCCTCTTTATTTTTTTCCTTCCACTAAATTTTCCATTAGAATGGCAGGAAGCAGCAGTCCGTGAGGAGCCAGTTCCTTCAGTAAAGGTTTAATGTGTCGCCAGTCATACTGATGAACATAGCGTCACATTTCTGTAATAAAGTTATTTCTTTATTGATCTTAGGTCATATTGCAGCTAAAACAGAAACTGACTTTCGGTTTTCTTTTGTTGTAAGATAATCACTTAAATTAATGAAAAAAACAGTTAAGATATAGCATCTATTTCCTAAAGATGTTGACGGTTTAAAGTGTTATATTCAAGTGTATAAAGGAGTTTGGTGAAAGGATTTTTTTTGTTGTTGCTAACCCCTTCTTATAAATATAATCATATCAGAATTAATGTGATGATATATGTTTATTCAGTTAGTCTCATGTCTAACTTTGAGACTGGAATGAAATACTTTTTCATTCGCCTTCAAACCAAATATGAATATTTTTTAAAGCGTTTTCATAACAGGAGGTTTTTTATTGCAAATGCATTTAAAGATGTTTGAATGTCAGTGAAAAGTTAAATATTTTCAATTGTTTATTTTATGACAACTAGGAAGTTTGAAAGAAAATTTGGGTTTTTCATAATAATATATTTGCCATTTGTTTTCTGCCAAGATCACAGAGAAGAAAGCTGACAGACGCCTAAAACGAGGCAAATAAGGCAGGAAAGATATTTGCTAAATTAGCTGGAAACTCATAGTGGTGATAAATTATATTAATGAAAAGTTGGGAGGAAAAAGTAGCCAAGCAAAAACGATAAAAGGATCATCTTTATTGCAAAATAAATTACAATTGAATTGATATTCACCTGTATGCTTGTATACAAACACCTATATTTTCAAAATTACATTAGAAATTTGGTTCCTCTGCACTCTTAATTTATCAGTCCACCTGAAATATGTATTGGCCATTTTATCTTTCTTTTAACTCTGCATTTTCTTATTTTCTTTCTCCTAAATTTGATGATAATCTTATGACTTTGGTGCATTTTTCTTCAGCTTTCTGTTTTGTTTTACCCCAATTTAAAAATAAAAGTGTGTGTGGGATAAGATTATGGACACCTGCTTCCAATCAGATATTTTATTGATTTGCTTTATCAATTCTAATCTGATGTGAAAATCTGAAATACCAAACCGTGAAGTTTTGATTTCTTAGGTCCCCTCCACAACTTTTCCATGCAGGCTCCCTCTGGGACCTTGTAACCGGAGGGGTGACGAGGTCATCTTGTTCTGAGGTTTCGTGAATCGCTTTGCCCTACTGCGACCTTAGCGTGTTGCTTGACTGCAGCGAGTGAAACCTGAGTGGCAGATTGCATGACTCCAAAGCTCCAAGATCCTTGCATTTACAGAAGCTATAGCGCGCAAATATGTGTACCTCCGTGCAGGAGGGGAGGGGGTGCAGAAAAAAAAATAGACTTGAGCTTTTCTCTCTTTGTTCTGCGAGTTTAAAACCTTTGTGTCTTTTTCAGAGGCTACAACCTTCGCGTGACTTAACCAAGCAGATTTAGGATTGTCCAGAAGACCGAGACCCTCCCCTCTGGACGGCAGCTCCGCTTCTCACGCAACCTGCTGCAGCGAGGCGCAGCGCCGAGGCGCGCGGGAATGGAGACCCTGCAGAGGCAACACATACAGCCCTCCCCTCCCCAGGGGACCGGGGCAGACCCCATAATGGCTCCTCATAATGCGAGCAATTCAACTTTTGCCTGTCTTTATTTATTTTTTTTTTAAAGAAAGCAGTACATTTCTTCAATAGCTGTGTGTGTCCGTGGATCTCAGTGCCAAAAGGGTTTATGCGTAAATCAGGGATTTAAAAAAACAAAAAAGGTATAAATATTTTATATCAAAACATAAAGAATCAAAATGGAAATGTCTACCTTTAACGAATCAGTAAATTGTGAAAGTTGGCCAAAAAAAAAAAAAAAAAATCTAATTAAAACAATTACTTGTAGCGCAATATTTTTTTTAAATAATAATCTGTGAAAGTAGCTTCGTTTTTTGTTTGTTTTTTTTTTACAATTCTATATAATAAATTAACTGATTTTAGACTTCAGCTTTCGTAGCTTGATATGCACAAGGGATGAAATAAAACATTTAGGGCTAAATCTGTTAAACGGCAACCAAGTTCATAATCTTTTATTTTATAAATATTTGCATGCATGGCTGTAATTGAATCCATGTATTTCAGCACAAGAAAAAAAAATTAAGTGACATTTTATCTGAAGAATAAACATTTTGAGGATCCATATTTACCATGTCTAACCAGAAAGGTAATTATTGTCAGTAATTCAATTTAGATATTCAGACTCATATGTAGGTTTGTATATTTCATCTTATGATTGAGGCTTACACCTGATGATGTCCAAGATGTAGTTTCTTTTTATGCATCAGTACAGGTTGGTGGAAGCAGTGTGATGAGCTTCTCATTCAGAAGATAAGGTTGCTTCAATAGAAGCTATAGGAATATCTGCATGTCTGGGTCTCATGTTGCTCGTCTTTAGTTTCTTGTTAAAATTTAGGGCAGAAGAGATTATTGGCCAATTGAACAGATTAACTGCAGTCATTAAAGTAGGTATTGCTGAATTTGGTGCTGTGGTTTGGTGCCAGAGAAATTAAATCATGTATCCCCAAAACTTGTCTATTGAGGGGGAAAGAAAAGTTCTCTAAAAGTTCCCAGCAGTCAGCTGCACTGATATTGGAATTGGATCAACATCAAATCGCATGGCTCCTCAAACTGTCACTGACTGGGAAAATATTGCACCTCAAGTAACTTAGTTTTTATGTCGCTTTCTCCTCCCCTGATTTCTGTGACCTTTATTTCTACAATGTTTTGCAAAATTTGATCCCTTAAAAAGGTATAATATATATATATATATATATATATATATATATATATATATATATAAACAAATAACCTGGAACCATTTCATTGGAAAAGTTCAGAAATGTTCCCCTTACCCAAAGCATAAAATGCAAATGATAATTTCTCTGGTTTTATTCTTCCTGCAGATTCTCTTTCTTGCCACAGTTTTTCCTTCCACTAAACTTTCCGAAATCCTGCTTTGGTAAAGAACAGTTTGAATATTTGCCCTTTTTAAATAGTAATCATTTATTTAATTTTTTTTTTACTTATCAGCCAGCAACTTAGACACAAAGGCAGTTTCAGATCATGTCAAGAATAAAAGTATGCCGTCACAGTTGCAATGTTCTTGCTCAGAAGTGGTCCGATAGATTAGAGAAAAAAAGTGCACTTTTACATCAAGAAGAAGCAGATTCTAGAATAAATGAGAACAAAAGTGTTGCTAAGAATCAGCTTGGTTGTCATAAAGTATGCATGTTCCAACCACTGACCTATTGTCCCTTTTTACCCAAGTTGTAACGGTGCGTTATAAGCAGCTCATTGTGCAGTGCGTAATCTAAATGTAATGAACTTATCCGCCCTGGCGCTCCTGTGCCGCCTGCTCCCCCTCCTCTCTGCCCAACATCCTTCTCTCAGGGGAGGAGAAGGTTTGATCACTGCACTCTCACGCAACTGGTCAATCTTTAACTCCCGTGGAGTTGCATACTGGAACAAGCACGCAATGGCATAGGTTTTATCAGCACTGTCTAACTGTGGCTGGAAAAGGCTGGAATGACAAGAATTCCTGCCTTCACTTCAAAACTGGTGAGGAAATGTGGTAGAAAGTTGGAAAGTTGAAAGCATGTGGTCTAAATTGGTCTCCTTTATCATCAGTGCAACAAAAAAAGGCTTCTTTCTTTAAGATATCTGGTTAACCAGACTGATACATGCGTCAGAAAAAAAGTCTAATTGCTCACATCAAGACATGTGTGAAAGTGAAAAAAAAACAATAAAAACAGCAAATGCATAGAAGATACAAAGCAGCCACTGCAAACTTTAAATACCCTGCAGAACAAGTGCATGATGATAAGGTTTGAACGCTCTTATCGCAGATCAGACACTGATTTGCAGCCCGCCTTTCACAGCTGTGTCTCGTGCGCACCCAGACTTGGAGAACGCGGCAGACACACTGTAATGCACGCGAAGTGTGTAATGTAAGGACCACACAGAGATACACCCATCAACCTTTTTTTTTCTCTCCTCCAAACTTCATTCACGTTTGAGTATTAAAGGGGTGCGGCGTAAGGTCGGAGGAGGGGGGATGATGTCACGCACAGCAGCCAATCAAATGGTGCAGCGCTCTATAAATTATACGTCCATGCCCCGTTGAAGACAACAGCAACATTTAGGACACCTTGAAGAAACTGTTTTGGTGCTGTTGGAAACACATCTGTGGGATTAGATCGTTCTCTCAATAAAAGGTAAGGTTGTTTTTTGCACACTGTAAGTTATTTCTAAGTATTGAGAAGATTCTGGAAAGCATAACTTTAGTATAAATTAGTTATATGCACATGCTTTGTGTAATTCTTGAGCTTAAATTTTATGAATTATGACTTAGACATCTAAGTACCATAATCCATTATTTAAAATGATGCAAAGATCACCACTCTGCAGAAAATCTAGAGCCAAACACATGCCAGCGTTTTCCATTAACTGTGTCATTTTGTTGCGCAACACGTCTTTCTTCTCTCTGTCAACGATAATCTAATCCCCCCTCCTATTTAATTTACAGGTTGAACAGAAGAGTTGTCATCATGGCATTAATGATCCTACCATTCATTGGAGCACTCTCGATCTCTGAGGGTTTGATAGCCTTGGCAACGGTGTGTCTGGTCTACCTGACCCTGAAGCATTTCCGAAAAGAGATCCCAGAGGGGCTTCAACAACTCCCCGGCCCAAGTTCACTTCCTGTCATCGGGAACCTGCTAGACCTGGGCAGCAAGCCTTATCTAAGTCTTACTGAAATGAGCAAACGCTATGGAGATGTGTTCCAGATTCAGATCGGCATGCGTCCAGTTGTTGTTCTGAGTGGTTATGAAACAGTTAAACAGGCTCTCACCAAACAGGGAGACGACTTCGCCGGCAGACCAGACCTATACAGCTTCCGCTTCATCAATGATGGCAAAAGTCTGGCCTTCAGCACTGACAAAGCCGGCGTTTGGCGGGCTCGCAGAAAGCTTGCCTACAGTGCACTGCGCTCTTTTTCCTCCCTGGAGGGAAAGCTCCCAGAGTACTCCTGTGTTCTGGAGGAACACATCTGCAAAGAGACCGACTATCTGATCAAGGAACTCCAAAAGGTCATGGAAACTGAAGGCAAATTTGACCCTTTCCGGTACATAGTTGTTTCTGTTGCCAACGTGATCTGTGGCATGTGCTTCGGCCGCCGCTATGACCACCATAACCAGGAACTGCTGAGTCTGGTAAACCTGGCCGAAGATTTTGTGTCGGTGACAGGCAGTGGCAACCCAGCTGACTTCATCCCTGCTCTGCAGTACCTGCCCAGCAAATCAATGAAGAAGTTTTTCAGCCTCAACGACCGCTTCAACAACTTTGTTCAAAAGATCGTCACTGAGCACTATGCCACCTTTGACAAGGTATTCCACACACTATATAATTTAACAAATTATTTAGCTTTTTTTTATTTGAAGAGTTTTTTTTTATGAAATTGTCAATTCATTAACTTCCAGGACAACATCCGTGACATCACCGACTCCTTAATAGATCACTGCGAGGATCGGAAGCTTGATGAGAACTCCAACATCCAAATGTCAGATGAGAAAGTTGTTGGCATCGTCAATGACCTCTTTGGAGCTGGTAGGTTTCAAAACTTACAGATTATTTGGATCATATGTCCTCTTTATACAACACAGGCGTCCTCAAAACTCTTTTTGTCCATTTTGTTCTACTAGGTTTTGACACCATCTCTACTGCTCTGTCATGGGCTGTGATGTACCTTGTGGCGTATCCAGAGGTTGAGGAGAAGCTTTTTGAAGAAATAAGTAAGTTTGAGTCTTTTTTTTCCTTTTTTTTTATCTTGCATAACAATATATATATATATATCGAGTATTACTTCAATTAGTTTTTATGCTTTTTTTTTTGCTCCACCCTGATATTTAACCCACTTCTCTAATTTTTAGAGGAGAAAATCGGTCTGGATCGTACACCTACTCTCTCTGATAAAAACAACTTGCCTCTCCTGGAGTCTTTCATCCTGGAGCTGTTCCGTCATTCTTCATACCTGCCTTTCACAATCCCACACTGGTAAGTCTTTTTTTTCTTCTAAATATCACCTGCAATCATTATCTGGCAATGAAATGCAGAGTATTTCAAAGTTTAACATAGGGAAAGGCTTTATGATGGACTGACACTTTATTTGTTTGTTGTTTTAGCTCTACAAAAGATACATCTCTGCACGGCTACTTCATCCCCAAAGATACTTGTGTCTTTATAAACCAGTGGCAGATTAACCACGACCCGTAAGTTTCTTTTGTATATTTTATTCTTTAGTTTTGAACTCTAACATTTTAGACCGATTTTGACACCTGCAAAGAGAGAAACATGCTGAAATAATAAATCAGAAATCAATATAGATATATTTAATTAATAAACTGTTGCTTCTCAGAGAGCTGTGGAAAGACCCGTCTTCGTTCATCCCGGAACGCTTCCTCAACGCTGACGGCACAGAGGTCAACAAGCTAGATGGAGAGAAAGTGTTGATTTTTGGCTTAGGAAGGAGGCGATGCATCGGCGAAGTTATCGCGCGAAATGAAGTCTTCCTCTTCCTGGCGATCATCATCCAGAAGCTGCACTTTTACAGGTTACCTGGAGAGCCCCTGGACATGACTCCAGAGTACGGCCTCACAATGAAACACAAACGCTGCTTCCTGGGAGTTACAATGAGAGCTAATGATGAGCAGTGAAGCTATTCTTTATTAAGAAATTAAGACTCTGAAGGTGGCTTTAGTTGACTGTGGTACTATAGATTAAGAGTTACACTAAGTGTGAGTGAAAAATTTATTTTTCTAAGAATGTCGGACACTGGGTGACCTCTATCTATAGAGTTAACAGCATAGAGGCAAGTAAAAGAACTGGGTTTGATGCAGATTGTAAGAGCTGTCTACATTTGGGTCTATCTCTCTGTAGTTTGAAGCTCTTCAAAGCAATATTACTGTACGTTGTCTCCGCTTCTAAATGAAGAAAAAGAAGATGCATATTTCTTTGCCATATTGTCCTGTAATCCAAGAGTTTCCCACGTAGAAGTGATTAAGCAGACAATAAGAGTTTTTCATCTTTTTGGATGAATGATCAGTTTTATATGCATTACTATGAAGGGCACTGCAATTTACATACTGTCAGAGAAGTACCTGAAGCAAACAGATACCACAGTATGATATCATTTATATTTTTAAGCTAATTACTGTCATTTCATTATACTGTAAAAGACAATCCCAAAGCTATATTTGTATCCCTAAATGTGATCATTTGTGCATGTGTGTCTGTATTTTCTTATAGGTCAATTTTATGATCCAAGCACATGTTTATATTTGAGGTGAAATACTTGTCGGTGTCACAAAGAAAATTGATCAATCAGGGCATTTTCAAATGATTCTGGAAAAATAACATAATGCTGTATGTTTTTTTTGTCTCTTATATATCATTTATTGTTTAAAAAGATGTAAGGGATGAAATTGTTCCATCAACAGAAATAAAACTAAATGCTGTACACATCATGCTGTTGTCTGTCTAAATTAAACAGGCATGTATTAGTTCAAACATAATGTAATAAGTGATGGGCATGTTTTCAATCCATTTATCAGTCATCAAATGGAGAAAATAACAAAACAAACCCATGTGGTTGAAAGAGGACGTGACGTAAAGTGCGGACAGATGATAACTTCCCCGTTGGTCCAACGAATGCAGCCGGCGCCATCTTTCTTATTAGTCGCCGCTGTCGGGTAGCAGCAGCCTTCATGCTTTGCGAGGAGAGCTCTCCATGCAAAGCATTATGGGATATATCTGCCTTTTCTGAGGCCTTTCTTTTCTTCTCATCCACTTCGCAGACACTTTTTCTCATAGAACTTTCGGCCGTTTTCAGAGAACCGCAGTGAAAAATTGAGCTTCAGCGACTGTCTGAAACCATAGCTCACCCCAGATATATGCCTGAAAGTGTGCGTGTAAACAAAAAGATAGCTGAGGGGGTCAACACACTGGCCCTACGGGTCAGTCTGGCCTGGTTACAGAGAAGGTAACGTTGCTGTGCAGCACTAAAAAAGTATTTTTTTTTCCCTGAAAGGATGTAAATACCACATTTGTATTTATATTATTTTTTAACATTTTTCCCTGCTACTCTGCACTTATTTTTGGGAGGTGTGGAATAGAAATCATAACCTGAAGATGTTGACATGCCCTCCATGATTTTTTGCATCATTTTGGATTCAAGTTTACCATGTCCAGGCCCAAAACAGGGGCTGTTAGCAAGAACCCAAGACAGACGGCCTTACGTAAATATATATCTAGAATGATTGACAATTAGGAGGACCACTTATTTAGGTGATCCACCCAGAAATAAAAGATCTTCCTGTATACGTTTAATATAAGTATTGTCAGCCCCCCTCTGGGCTGCATCTTAGTCTTTACAACAGAAAAACCCCAGCACATCCTACCTAGAGGTTTGAAAAACAATTCAATCAGATTCAATCAGACACTTTTAAAAATGAATGCCTTGATTGCAGCAAAAAGAAAAGAAAAACTTATAGCAAAGAATTATAGCAAAGACAGGTTCAATAATAGATCACATAGCCTTAGCAGGCTGTTTTATAGAAATGTTGGAGAAAACAGTCAAACCAATAAAGCAGAATTTCTGTTGACCTGTTTTAGGCAGAATTTACATAATTTCACCAACTGACTACTGGCTACATTTTACAAATCCTACTTTTTGAAGCATAATTATGTTTGGAGATGATCAAAGCTTTCCTCAAAGTTTTTTTTTCTTCTAAATGGCAAAAACAATGAGTATACTAAGTGTCTGGGCCCCACCAGAGCTCTAATCCATGTAGTTTTTTGACCTATTAATGCTGCTTTCTGATTGTTTTCTCAAGTTGAATTTTCCGAGTCAGAAAAAGAACAAGAATGCGCCTTGAAGTTGGAAATACGAGGGGAAAAGTCAGAGGTCTTCAAGCAGCCCCCAGCTCCATTTCCACTGTTGCTGCTACGCAAATGCAGGGGCCCTCTAAAGTCTGCACCCTGTTAAAGGGCAAGGTTTTTAGGATGCTGAAAATTCACATGATAAATCATATCCATTTCCAATATTTAGTCCTAAATGTAGCACATAAATTAGAAGTTACCAGCTTTCAATTATAAATAACAGCATTATTTAACAGTAACTTGTTGTGAGTGGTTCAGTTCCCCTGTAATATCCAACAGGTAAACACTACAATCTCCTTGGATAGTTATTTTACCCATGTATAGAATAATGCCATAATTCTCCACTATCATATTGTAATTGCTTTATCATTGAAGCTGCAACATTACCACATACAGTTATGGTTTTCCAACAATGTAGTGTAATATCACAGATATACTGTAAGTATGTTTCAATGTCTATTGCTGTGATCCTGTATTGTTGAAAAATATAATTCCTTTTAGGTCCTGGCTTCTAAAAGACATCTGGAGGTTTTGAGTCAAAATTGAGGGGTATGTGGAACTGTTCATAATTTCATTCTGTTTCTTAAAAAATAAAAACAGTTTAATCTGAAGAAAATCAAGTCCAAATCCCTTTTAAGCTGCTTTTAAAAGGTTTTGTTTCATAGGAGCATTAAACAGGCTCCCTCAAGCTAGAAAGGGGTTTTTCATAGAAATTAACCGCCTTTGCCCAGAATTATTCCTCCTTTATCCAGACATACAGATGTTTTATATTATGGAAGATTTTGTACCGCTGTCTTGACTGAAAACTTTGCACAATTACATATTTTTGATCCTTGGCAACATATTTTAAATTTCTCACCAGTCTAAGCAGAGCAAACTACTGAAGACTTTATCTTAAGGGGAAAGATTTTAAGGAGGAATATGGCTGGTATGGTCAATGATCTGACAGTGCTTGAAATATTAAATAGTTTTAGATCATAGCATATTTTCTTAAAACAGTTATTTTCTCATTAATAGGTATTTTCTGCAGATGAGTGTTTTTCCTTAGTGTGCATTAGGAACGAGGTGTAAAACACAAAACGGTGATTGTTCAGTGATTGAAGGGAGTGCTGCAGTGTCACAATAACCCATCAGCACAGATTCCATGCAGACTACCTTAAAGAACATCATGACTGCTTTTCATTCTTATAAAAAGGTTTTTTTTTCAGCCTCCGATACAGTATGGTTCAGTTTCACAACAGAATGCAAGTGAGTCCTTCCCTACTGTGCACAAAATCCTAGTAACCTTTGTCACATTGGTTTCAACCAAATTTGAATCATTTTGACTGTATGATCTGGTTGAACTGTAAAGTGCCTTGAGTTGACATGTGTTGTGAATTCGGCGCTATAGAAATAAACGGAATTGAATTGAAATTGAACCGAATTTTATTGGGATTTTTTTTGTGACGGTCAAACACAAAGTGGTTTTTAATTGTAAAGTAAAAGGAAAAATTATGCATTTTTTAATGTTTAGAAGTCAGTGTTGGGCAAGCTACTTGTCCAGTGTAGTGAGCTAAGCTATCAGTTACAATAAATTAAGCTTCACTACACCAAAGCTACCACCTAAAGAATTATAACAAGCTAAGTTACACTAATGTGTTAAAAGTAGTTTAACTACATCAGAAGCTACTTAACGTTGTACCAACCTAATATCAATTAAAAATTAGTCTGGCACACTGGTTAAAACATTTATTAAAGATCAGCCAATGACATAACACAGTGTAAACATTGCTTTATGATCAGCATAATAAAATAAAAACTGAAGTAATTACTAGTAGACAAACTAGTAAACAATCTGCTGTTATTAGACTTTATCTTAAGGGGAAATATTTTAAGGAAGAATATGGCTGGTATGGTCAATGATCTGACAGTGCTTGAAATATTAACTGGTTTTAGATCATAGCATATTTTCATATTAGAGTTATTTTCTCATTAATGGGTATTTTCTGCAGATGAGGGTTTTTCCTTAGTGTGCATTAGGAACGAGGTGGAAAACACAAAACAGTGATTGAAGGGAGTGCTGCAGTGTCACAATAACCCATCAGCACAGATTCCATGCAGACTACCTTAAAGAACATCATGACTCAGCGCCACAGCTTTTCATTCTTATAAAAAGGTTTTTTTTCAGCCTCCGATACAGTATGTGTCAGTTTCACAAAAGAATGCAAGTGAGTCCTTCACTACTGTGCACAAAATCCTAGTAACCGTTGTCACATTGGTTTCAACCAAGTTTTATTGGGATTTTTTTTTGTGACGGTCCAACACAAAGTGGTTTTCAATTGTAAAGTAAAAGGAAAATGATGCAATGTTTTTTTTAATGTTTAGAAGTTAAAAATCAACAAATTGTGGCATGATCTCATTTTCCTCACCACTTTTTTACTTCCCTTTTAAAACCCTCATGGAAAAGCTGAGAGGCTGACAGCTTTATGTGTATAAAGACATAAAGTGCATCAAATTTCTTCAAAAGCAATGATCAGAATTTTGGAAGTGAATTTCAATACTTTTAAACATCAATTTCACCCCTTTAAGGTAACCTTATTCTCAAGCTAAGTTTTTTGCTCTTTCAAACTTTTTTTTTTTATAAATAAAGAGATTTAGCTACAGTTGCTATTAGGCTTTTTGACAATTATCAAAGGAATGTTTTGAGCATTTTTATTTCGATTTTTAAAAGGAATTTAAATTGTCTTCACTGCACCTGCTAAAAAGATTATGCTGACGTGAAATTGTACCTTTAAGAGATAAAGAAAAACACAGAAGTGTTAAAAAAAAAGTCAAAGTATTGCAAGAAAAGGCAAAGTGAATTGTTTGTTTTACGATATTTAGCCATGTCATATCAACTCCTGTTTTAGTCTCAATAAATGAGTGACAAAAAGTAACAGGACTGCAGTT